GCAGCGGGCAGCGGCCGCCCGCCCCCTGCCTGTTTTCCGCCCCCGCGCAATCACCGAATCGCAGGCCGGGCGTCGGTTCGCTTCACAGAAACGTTTTCTCCCTCCTTTCCCGAGGAGCGGGAGGCGTTGCTTGCCGAAACAGGCCCCCTCGTCTGTCGGCTCAACGTCCGGCGCTCGAGTTTCGGGATGAAGCAGCGTCTGTTCTGCAGGCTTGCTTGCCCACGGCATGAAGGAGCAGCAAAGCTACATCTTCTCTACCGAAAGAGGGACCGGGGCTTGCAGAATCCCTTTTAGGGAGTTGAAACTCCCAGGAACGTTGGGAGTGAGTGGGAGCCAGAATTTAAGCTGCCCCACCACAGCCCCTTCCACGCTGCTCAGGCACCGCAGGCCTTGCTGCGGGGCTGTTACACCTGGAGCGAAGCCTCTGCTCGCTCCTGTGAGCTGCGAGCTTTGCCTCCTCACCAGCCCGGAGGCAAGAAAGTTTTCCATCCCGCCCCAGTTCCCCTTACCAGCAGCGCTCCCCTCCTTCACCCTTCTCCAAGGAAACGCCTCTCCAGGTCTGCGCCACGAGAAAGGTGCGTGGCCATTTTGCAGGGCGCTCCATTTTTGCACAGGCTCCGCTCCGCCTAGGTGCAGGTTTGTCCTACAGCTGCGTCACCTGCCGAAGCGTCGCCGTAAATACTTACTGCTTCTCTGGGGAGAGGTTAAAGGCGGTTTCACGCCTGGGCCGAGTGCATAAGGCGATGTCAAGCGCTCGTCGCTGCCGGCGAGGGTGCAGACTGCCTGAGGAAGAAGGCTCGGCGACGGTGAGCTTGTTCTTCCCGCTCGCATTTTGTTTTTTCCCCCACGGACGGCTACGCCAGGCACGCGCGCTCGACTGCCGAACGGCAGCGCAGCCAACGCCAGGTTGAACTGAGGGTCGCTACCCCTTCGGAGGAGAAAGACATGTCTTTATTTAACTGAAAATGAGTGCCAGACAGTAATGAAACTTCAGACAAAAAAATCTGTCGAGTATAAAAGAAACTGGTTTAGTCTACATTAATAACCTCAGGATATGCAAATGTCAAA